CTTCCTGCGGTACTCAACCTCTGGGTATTATTTTCCCGGCAGTCCTCCTTTTTCAAGAAGGAGGGCCACCTTTACTAATTACTTGCAACATTTTGCTGACTGTGACTCCATTGGTCTATTCCCGGTCCTAAGGCTCTGGTGGTGTCGGCCTCACCTTGGTGGCGGCAACCCTGCCTTGGTCCCTCATCCTTTCTTTCTCCCTTGCTTTCCTATTTCGGAATCCTCTGTGGTGCACATCTTGACTGTATATCATGTCTCAAGGGGGGACTTTATTTGGGAACCAGAGGTCCCGACAATGGACATACCGCCTATGGGTCCTATTGTCCTTTTCTAAATTATAATGTAACCAACTCACAAACCCAATGGTCACAGGTTCAAAAAAACTTCAAGTCCTACTATACCAGTGCTCCAAAAGCATTACTGCAGTAAGTAGACAGGTCAAGCTAATCCTAACTCAGCACGAACATAGCCCTTATGAGTCCCACCGTCTTATCCTGAATAATAATGTAACCAACTCACAATCATTACTGCCCTAACAACTTATCACTATCGCCCTTGCTAAACCACTCACCAAATGCACAAAAGACAAAAAATATGATGGTGCATCTTCCCATGTTCTAGCGGAAGATTCGTTCTCATTCTATACATTTGGTGAGTGGTGAAGGACAGCCCTATCTACCTTTGGCAGTGGTGGATGAGAACCAGATAGTGGCCATCCCAAGCAAGCCCTGCAACACCGACTACCCTGAATTGAAGGCAGTAGTTCCTTCCCTCAGCATAAAAACGTGTAAATATGCATCGAGCAAAAAGAAAGTTGTATGTCAGTCCCCCAGAACTTCCGTCGAAATGAGAGAGTAGGATTCCATCGATCAAGAATTTGCATACATTGACCAAGAGAACAGGACAGTCCATCGTCTCAAGCATTGTCACACCCGTCATCACATACCGGTCATGGCTCCAAAGGTGTTTGGAACTTCAAGAACTTCGGCACGACGGGCAGTTCCAAAGTTGTAGGGCGGGGTTTTGTTTGGCACATGACAAGCGAACTATTTTTCACACAACTGCTCGTGGATGTTCCAAAATTGGGCAAGTTAGTGAATGTCACACATTAGCACAACGATATGATCCTCATTCAATCTTGAAGCAAAACTCAAATTCGAGACATTACAATGAATGATAATACAAAACGGATGGATGAGAGAAGAGGAAGAGAATGAAAGAAAGAGAACAAAAGAATACTCAAATGTTACCTCCCTCGTCCATCTTGCAAACTCGTCATCACCCCCATATCCTCGTTTTTTTCCTTTCCCCCCCTGGTAACATTTTTGGCACCTCTAGCATCAAGTCCTAAAGATTTGGACCATTTCTCGATTTATGCATGTCATCCTTGTGCAGGGGCAATGCTAATCTTCTCTATACTGTTCTAATAAACTGCAATCAAAGAATGAATATCAGATGATTCCTGAGAATGTACCTCCATTCAGCTCTTCTAATCCTCCCTACTCCTTCCGGTTGGATGGAGGACAAGACACCCTCTACTGCTCTCTCCCCCTTTGGCTATGGTGAACCACCGGTTCATTCTTCGACACCATATCTACAGAGGACAACACACCCTCTACTCTCTCTCCCCCAACAAGGACCCCGATGTCACACCCTCAAAAAAAGCATCTCCCCGACGGAACCCTAAAAGGGTCTCCGCCAACCTTAGAAGTGAAAATTGTGGTTCAACATAGCCAAAGGCCAGCTACCCCCCCCCTCTTCCTCCTCCTCTAATCCTAGTACTCCTACTACCTGCTCTCATAGCACAATGTGGTTGCCACTGGCACGGAGCTAGCTGGGGATTCTTCGTCGGTATTTGTCACACCACTCCATCACCATAGCCTATCCTACTCCTCCCTCCACCTTCACCTCCATGGCCAAGGAGGTCTTTGTCCTCACCTGCTAAGCTGCTCCTCTCTGTACCGCCTCACTCTGCCTCATCACCCTCTTGAAGAAGCACCAGCATGACTGCTGGAATGAGGTGGATTGTTGTGCCTAGTGGCCAAGCACACCACTCTCCTGTCAATGCTGGTGCTTCTTCAAGGGGGTGATGAGGCAGAGTGAGGCGGATTGTTGTGCCTAGTGGCCAAGCACACCACTCTCTGTCAATCTGGACCTACCTGCCTCCAGGATAGGCCTATCTATTCCCATGAGGGAGTGGGAACATCATTACAGACCGTAATCCTACCCCACATCCGACCTGCTGTAGACACGGCCTACATTAAATCAGGAAAATCAATTACCTTTACCGGTATGCATCACCGCTATCAAATTTCAGTTCAGTCCACATGCCAATAGCTAGTGACAAACTGACCCTTCACGAGTCACAGAACCACAGCACAGGCGCATAGTTTGTAGCTTTGTACACAGACGCAAGCAATGAACTTCGGCTGTATCAGGCAGACATCCATTCATTCATGAGCAAGCAACCCACACATGCACATACAAACCTTCCCACATCGCCCCCTTCCCCCCCCCCCCCCAAATACACACCCACACACCTGCCCACACACAAACACACAGACGCATCATCCCACAAGCACACACCATCACATCACATACACACAGTGAAAAACACCCACCACGTTTTCTGTTCTGACAGGTCTTGATCGCAAAATGACGAGTGAACTCTGAGCTTGCCGTAGCTATCCTGCGATATTTTGTCTTTCAAACCGCTGGTTTGCCACTTGACATTTGAATTGGGTTGTACTGTGTTATATCCTGCAAACAGAAACCCAGCCAGAACATACGGGCAGGCATCTGGCCAGGTTCCCCAAGCAGGACGTCCGGCTAGGTTGTCCAGGCCGGAGAGATCCCAGGCAACCTGTGCTGACAAGGCCAAGGAAGATATGTCCGGTGTTGGAGGTGATTTCCAAAAACCCCGGGGGGGGGGGGGGTCGGTGGGTGTTGCAATGGTGGTCTAAGGGTTATTCAAAGCGGTCTACCAAAGTGAATTTAGCTTTTACTTCACATTATTAAAGTTCTTTGTCTTTAATGAAGTGATATCGCAATCAGCCTCAGCCATCCAAAGTTTGTTTGTAGACTTGTGGTCCAATTATACAAAGCATACTCTTTTTCCAGATGTGTTTCGGAAAATATTGCAAATCTTACGACTTTTCGGGCAGACGGGTGGTACAGCTGGACAGTACGTTCAGATCTGTATGCGGGGCGGCCAGAGTCTGCAAGACGTCCTGCTTAGGTGAACACACTAAGTCTTGAATTTCTCCACCCTCCAATGGCCCCCCCGAAATCAGAGCATACTCACACTAGGCCCTCAAAATTGCAACTCACAAAATGAGCGGCCAGATAAAGTCCTCGTAAAAGGAGGACTCAATCTGGCTGCTGATTTTGCGGTTTTGCATCGTTTCTTTTTCTCTTTCACAATTTCACAATTTTGAGCGCCTAGTGTGAGTATAATCTCCAACTAGCACAATCTTAAACGTAGTTGACCATAATCATGGCCCTACTTGGATGTATCTGACCGCAATTACATCCAGAAGTAAGCAAAAAGAGTCCTAGTGTCACATATGCCTTTGCACCAGTATGCAAGGAAGGCTGCAGGTACCTTCAGTAGCCGGCCGTTATTTGGTGGTACATACCTCAACCATGGTAAAAGGGGGTGGTAATAGGGGTTGGTTAAGCGCAACAGGCAAGGAAATAAGTCCCGGGTGAACCTCCTGAACATTGAACATAGAATGGTGAGACAAAGGGTTTGCAGTCAGCAGGCTATTATCAAGATGATACGCAAAAACCTAGGCTACGAGAGTGGCCCGGGACCACTTGCCCGGCCGGGCCAAAAAAAAAAAAAAAAAAAAAAAAATCTTGAATTTTAATTTTAATTTTAAATTTGGTAAATAATTTCGATGTGACCCTGAGGCATGGCTACCGCGGACCTGAACACCAGACTGATCCAAACTCAGATAACCGGTCGACCCGGATATGATCCAGACGTCCGGATTTCCGGACCAGTCCGGACCGTCTGGACATGGTCCGGATCGGTTCAGATGATCATGTCCGGATCAGTCCGGATTGAAAAAGAATAAAATAAAACTGGCAGGTCTCTCATGCATGTTGAATATAATTTCATCGTATAACCTTGACTTAAGGGGAAGTGTTCCAGGAAGACATAGCTGTTGGCATATATGACAAACATGAATGATCATTCCTTGACATGCACTGTGCTGGCAAAGTCAATGCAAAGCACAAACTGCTGCAAGGGAAGAAAAAGTGAAGAAACAAAAAAAAGAGCACTCCGCAGTAAACTTGAATAAACTCTCTCTCTCTCTCTCTCTCTCTCTCTCTCTCTCTCTCTCTCTCTCTCTCTCTCTCTTTTGAATGTGTGCACATGCGCGCACCAGTCCACAACGGTAACGAGGGCTCTCTCTCCCTCTTTGTGTGTGTGTGCGTGTGTGTGGCAGCGGCGGCGGGTGGGCGGGAAAAAGAACTCTGAAGTGCCTAGATCCACCCTTTCTTCCCTTCATCACGGGGGAACTGTGCTCTACTTCCAACGGTCTACCCAGGATGCAAGTAGAAAAGGGGCAGGTCCGGCCGCCCTGTAAGGCCGATACCGGCCCCAAAAATCATCGAGACATTTTTCGGGAGAACCTGGACCCAAGGAACAGGTCTAGGGTGCCCCCCTTTTTTTCGGGGTTTCAGCCCCTTCCGGACTGGCCTCCTACGGTCCGGCGTCCAGACACCGGACAACAGACCGTCTGGATGCCTGTCCGGATATCCGGACGGTAGCCATGCTGAGGCAAAAGTTGTTCAGTTATTTTTCTGCACAACATAGTTTTTTTTTTCAGATTTTGGAATTTTTTTTTTTGTATCCTTTTTGTTGCTGGGGCCTCCCTGGTCCTTGCACGGCTGGGCCGCCCAGGAAAACAAGGTGACCCGGGTGGCCCGGCTGGTAGCCTAGGCAAAAAGTAAAATAAAATAGAACAAAAGTCAAAGATGATACGCACCGATAAACAAAATTGAAGATGACATCAGGAAGGAAGAGAAGAAAGCAAACGGGATCGAGGAGTGCCACCCCCTTCACCATGCCTGGGTGTACACGGAGAAGCTTCAATAAGTCATGCAAAGTTTTGACAACCAACAAACATAAGAAGAAGAAATCACATCCACAAGACAAAGTGAGATCAAGAGAGAGAGTTGGGAAAAAAAATCCAAGAACAAGGGTAATCAATGGCTTCCTTATTGGGATGATAGCTGTGCACTTCGTGTGGAAAAAAACACTAGAATTTAGTGGAAAATAGTCTACACTCAGTAACTCGCATCGATGAAATAAAACCATGTGTCCTTTTGAGACATCCATTAAAATTGGAACCATACAGAGAAGATAATCATGGCCATATAATTACCCGCCTGGTCTATCTGCAGTGGAGAGAGTTACATTCATCAATCTTTTTCTTTTTTTCTTTAATGTGCACAATTTATACTAGTTTTTAACATTCATCAATCTTGTTCCGGCTCTTCTGAGGCCATACTTGCACTAGCACTTTCTGAAAGTTTTGGCAGTAACCATCGTAAATTTCTACAAGCAATGAAGACCTTCAATCCGAGTCCAAAGCAATAGCAATCCAACCATCAACGGAAGCAGCAAATGACAACGCACATGAAACTGAAAAGACGGAGCCAGAACTTCAAAGACAAACTCTTCATAGTAACAACAACAAGCACGGAAGCAGCAAATGTCCTCCAGTCTCTCTCTGACCCCCCTCAGTACTGCATCCACCTCACATCAATCCTGGCTATGCCACACTCTTCTCTCAAACCAGGACTCTTCTCTTTCTCCCGTCTCCTATGCCACGAGAATCTATACTCTCTCCTTGTCAGCCTTCACAGAGGCCCGGTTGAAGAATGTGTCCCTCCTGGTCTTGAAGTCTACTTCTTCAATGCGGTTATGCCCGCAAGCCACCAGGTAAGTTCTCTCTCCAGAGTGTCTCTGTTCCTCAATGTCAGTCCTGACTCCTATCTCTACTACCCACTCACGGTGTACGGCCCCTTACTACGCCCAGCTATGTCCGCCTGCCGAAGCGCTCTTGCCCCCTTCCCTTCTCTGGGGACACCTGTCGATGGCGACCCTGCATGGCGCAAAACGCCAGCGCAGAACTGAGCAAGGCAGAATGTGCTGCGGTCAGACTGGCAGCACATATATATGGCTTTGACCAGGACGCTGGGTCCCAGTGACTGACTGGCTGGGTGGGAGCTATGCCCTGTAGGCCCTGTAGGCCTCGGACTCATCCAAGACCATCGGATGCATGTGCGATCCGTGGCCCAAATTGACTTGTGCCAAAGTTCTGCAGAAGTCTTTTATGCACTCTGGGTTCAATTAGGCCAGAATCTTTGATATTCTCAGGCCTAGGGTACCTGAAGGTCCTGAACCTAGACCGCGCTGGTTCAGAGAGTCTACCGGTTCTCAATGCTACTTTACTAATTACCTTACCTAGGCCTCTATGCTGTTAGATGGACTCTACGATCTAGAGACTGAGGGTCAGGACCCCCTGGTGCTACATTTATACCGGGAAAGCACAAACCTGGCCATTGTTACATCCATGCTCATCCTTTCCTAGCACGGGACATAGCACCAGCGAGGCCTGGTTCTGACTCGAGTTGTTTCGAATGCAGTTCGTCTGACCCTGTCTTCCCACCAGGGCTGGTCCCTGGGTGGACCGGGGGGGGCTCCACTAACTGGGAGCCTGCCGGTCGAACTGGGCCGTCGACCGGCCTGGCAGGCCTCCGGTTCGTTGTAGCGCACTCCGCAGGCGTGAGGGTACGGGGATTTTTGGGCGTCCCCGTCCCTTCCCAGCCTCAGGGAGGCCACCGCCACAGTTTCCTAAGAGAACTGGGGCCTCCCGGACCCCGTTTTTATGAGAAAATGCGCGGTCAATCTCCGCCGCAGATCGGCGCAGATCGGCGGCAAAGATCAGCCACACGGGGCCCTATAGGCCCCAGTTTTCGAATTTGAAAACGCAGTCGATTTCGACCGCTGATCCCCAGATCTGCAGCCGAAATCGGCCGTGTTTTCAAATAACATTTGTGCGGCCTATCACGGAATGCAAACCCAGACCCGCCCACCTGAGTGTTTGGACATGCAGACGACGTTGATCGCATGCGGACGTCGATGTCGAGCTGCACCAACGCTCCCAGTGCCATCGCCCCGTCGCTAGCCCGCCATCAACGAAGCCTAGCAGCTGCATCGCCTCGCCAGCCCGCTTCAACACACGCACCCCCCATAGCCGCAAAAGTAAGTGCACACAGTTTAGGTCAGTGCTGTAAACCCGGTCCAGCCGGGGGCCCATCCCCCAACTGGAACCGGGCCCGTCGGACCGGCCGGTCAATCGGGCCGGTTCCCTCCCGATCAGCCATAGTGCACCGTTTTTTTTTTTTTTTTTTTTTTTTTTTTTTTCCTTCAAGAAGGCACCCCCCTCGGTGATAGTGGTGCTGATAAGAGCAGACACCACTAGCACCTGGGGAGAGGCTCCATCTATTGGTGGGGAGCATCACCTGCTGAAAAACGGGTCCAGCATCCCATATACAGAAAGAATTTGCATCGTGGGTGATGGGCCGGTTTGAATTTTTTTCGTGCCAGGAGGCCCCCACGCAGGTTGTGGGGGCCTCCTGGCCCAAATTGTTTTTGAACCAGGTCTGGTAGGCCTGCCCAAGAGGCCTGAAAAGGGCGGCCTCTTCGGACCGCTGATCTCGAAAGATTGGCGGCCCAAATAAGGCCGCCCTTTTCAAATCACGGAGGTAGGAACCACTGACCCAGCCCCGGCATCATGGCCTACCGGCTGCATTCCCACCTCCCCCCGACTTACCTCCCCTTCCCTCCTGCCTATGCCCTGCTGCCTAAGCCATTGTCCGCCCTCCAGATTGCCCGTCGTGTGTCGCCCGTCGCCCGTCATCAAGGCTGTCGTGGTCGTTGCCCCCATCATCGTTGCCCGTCGCCCATCGTCAAGGCCGTCGCACAACACGCCACAGGGACATACTTTTTCTTCTTCTTCTTCCTCTTCTTCTTCTGGTACACAGTTCCTCTTCTTTTTCTTCTTCTTCTTCTTCTTCTTCTTTACGTTGTTGGTTACGAGGCCATCATTGTCGTTGCCTCGATCATCGTCGTCGTCACCATCATCGTCGCCCTTCGCCCGTGCGACATAACCCCGCCGCCAGCGCACCACATGAACATACTTATTCTTCTTCTTCCGAGATGTACTTTTTTTTCTTCTTCTTCTTCTTCTTCTTCTTTCGGTGTGTAGTTCTTCTTGTTCTTCTTCTTCACGTTGTTGGTTACGAGGAGCGCGCTATTCGGTGGGCGTGCGCGCTCTCGTTCATGGGCGCGCAACATTTCTCGACGCGGTGGAGAGAGAGAGAGAGAGAGAGAGAGAGAGAGAGAGAGAGAGAGAGAGGGTGGGCGAACAGTTCGTGAAACTGTTCAACTGCTGCCCTCCCCCCAGCCACAACCCTTGAAATACCCCGTCCCCCCCCAACGAAATTTCTCTGTTCGAAGTTTTCTTTGCGGATTGGGGAAGATTTTGTCGAGCGCAATCCAACCATGTTTTCAAAAATAAAAAATAAAGGAGTTTTGACCCACTTTTGGGCTATGAATCCCCCGCAGTCATGACCACGGGGTCAATCTTGGCCCGCGGTCTGGATCCCGACTGCCGAGGTCGGCTGCGGGGGGGGGGCATGGTCCCGATTTTGGAACAATTTTTTTCCTATTAAATAAATACCAAAAAAAAAGAAAAAAAGGGTTGTAGGGTTTGAAAATACCTACAACCCCATATATTTTTTTTTTGGATTCTGAAGTGTTTTTCAATTTAAAAAAAAAAAATAGAAAACCAAAAATTAAGTATTTTAATAAACAATAAACGTACAAAAAAAAAAGGAACTTTTAACTTTGTGTGTGTGTGTGTGTGTGTGTGTGTGTGCATGTGCAGAGGGGAAGGGCGACCCCTTCCCCACCAATCAATCAATCAATCAATCAAT